GTGTCCGGCGTATGAAGGTGAGAGAGCACAGACGAGAATGCCGCTGTATGAAGACGGCCTTGTTATTAATACATCTTGTGAAACTGATTTATAGCACTCTGGATTAGTTCGCAGCCTATTGCGACGGGGTGTGCATGCGGTAAAAGTGTATAAAGCGAAAAGTTTACTGTCGTCTCATTATCTGTCCGTTGCGCTCTACATATAGACAGAGGAACAGAGAAATAGGGGAAGAAGTTCATGTACCTTGGGGTCTTGTTTAATGGCGAACGTACAGGAGGAAGAGATCGACTGCAGATTGGAATCGCCAAACAACGTTCTGCGTGAGCTAGCTTAAACGGTTGTGTCTAAAGTAGAGCCGAGTCTGAGGAGCAAACTTTCTACGTTCAAGTCGATTCTCATCCATATGATAACCTACTGTGAATGGTGGACCTTGGCTGAGAAATTTAATCCTTGTGTACAATTGGCTGAAATGATCCTTACGAAATAAATCGTTGGGCTCACGCGTCTCGACACTGTCCGGAAGATACAAATATCTGAGAGAGCCTTATGCGATGTCTCTCCAGATCGAGAAGTGCTTGGAGACGTCTTCGAATGATGCTTTCAGAAATGAAGTCGAAGCAATCAGTTCTTCTCCAATCGACCCGCCAAGACCCTAGGAACGGCCAAGAATAAACTGGGGCAAATGTATTGAAGAGCTTCACATTCAGGTTATCTTTTGCTGCAGCTGAAACGCTGACACAAGACTGGGAACGTGGAAAAGCTGTTTGACGCGCCTGCTTTCGAAATCCGATAGGATCAGCGGTGATAAAAATTAATTGACTGATTGACAAAAAGCTAAATATGACTTATGTAAACAAAATGAAATAATGCACTATCCCCCCATGTTCATAGATTGCTACTATCGATGACCGCTTTCTAATTACGTTGGCTAATTTCGCGTTTCAACCACTGTTACTGGTCTATAATTTGCGTGGAGAAAAGGATTTTTGCCACTGTTTTAATTGGTTACAGGACCATATAAGCATGTATTGGCTCCATCATATCTGCAGAGCTTCGGCTGAAAGGCTGTATTGAGTTCGGCTCAATATGTGCATATCTCATTCCTGGTAACCACATCATAACATGGGGATTAGATTTAATTTTTTTTATGCATTTGCCTAAAGATGATGGGCAATCAGGTTGCTGCTGGAACATGCTATTTTTCAGTCAAACTCACGATGATATCCTATATGTACTCAAGTACCATGGAGCCGTGACGCGAATAAACAGTCCTGCAAGGGTATTTTAAGCAAAAGTTGGGTATTTACTTAGAGCAACCCTGACATAAAAACCATTAAAATAGTTATAATATTGTTCAAAATATATGACTTTATGTTTTGAACGAGATCAGTACCGTTTATGTGTACTATAAAGTAGTGATAGCAAACTTCGCAATTTGAAACATTTGTACCTGCTGATCTAACTCTCAAGATCTTGCCGCGGACTTGGATAAACGTAGTAACTGCCGAATTTGTCGCTCGACAGCCGTCATAATGCCGAATATCAAGGTGTTTTCCGGAAATTCACACCCAGACCTCACTCACAAGATCTGCGACCGGCTTCAGATCGAGTGTTCGAGGGTAGTGGCGAAGAAGTTCTCTAATCACGAGACGTGGTATGTTTTCCGGTTAAATTGTTTCTGACGTTTTTCACATGTTGACATGGAAACGGTTCATTTATTTGTTTCTTACATAGCACTACTGATTAGACTTTCGCATCACTTATTTCCTGCCCGTTGAAAAGCAGGTTGAGTAGTCGAACTCTTTTCTTTTGTTCGAAAAGCCGTGACCAGTTTTTATTGCCCAGTGCTGCAATGCTCTATTTTGACCGCTTTTTTCTTTCTTTATGGATCGATATGTTCAAATACATAGTTACATAGTTAACGATCAACAGATCGATGTTGAACTCTCGCCAGATACAATGGTTCAGTCTAAATGTGCCGTTATTCACGAAAGTTTGCGGAAAGCATGGGTCGTTAATTTTTTCAACGTCATGTGTATTATTGCACTTTAATTGCCTATGAATGCTGCCAGTTAACGACGGTGATTTTGGTGGTCTACCTGTCCCTATAGTCCTTTGTGGAGATTTCGATTCGCAGGTATTATCTCATACGGTATGACTGAGAACGGATCTTAACTTCATTTCTTTGACGGACTGATAGTTGACGATTGTTCAGGCTAGTGTTAACAAATTATAATTCATCACAAAAAATAAAATATGACTTATTGCCTGTATTCATATCTTATAACTTATAATAGAAAGAAAATATCGGCGTTTAGAAGAGGGGGTGGCAAACTTTTGTACACCCTGCTTTCGGACATACTGATTTCCGTTTGGTCGTCATTTAATAATTACACTAGAGGAAGTGCTTTTCACGATAAATCGTCATGTTTCTAACGTTGTTCATTCAGTCCCAAAATAGGACAGATATTCCTAAGGTTTCTTACATTTTCATTCGGGCTTCAAGAGCCCATAAGAGAGGCGTGATAACTGTGAGAAGTTAGATGGAAACATTTTTAAGAGTTATAAAAGGCAGAAGATTTAAGACAAGGTAATTCTGCTACTAGATGAAATCGTATCCTAATTATTCAAAATTAGCTTTTAGAAAAAGGATTCCACATTATTCGATAGGTCTTTGGCTCATTGTATTATAAAGTTTCCACATCTTGTCATTCCGTGGTGGACAGCTAATCACTTTCTGCATAAAAGAGTCTGCATCTGTTTTTAAAAGTAGTAAGTTCAACAAAACATCGTATTGTTCTGATCTTGCTTGCAATTTGGATCGCAGTTGATGTTAGTACCTTCGCTTTCATCTGAACACCTGATTCATTTTGTGCTGGATGAATATAATCACACGAAATGGTAATTTGCAGAAATGTTTGACAGTAAAATCGGAAAATCGTAAAGAAACTTGAATTCTAAGCAGAACAATCAATAAATGTCAAACAACCAGAACAATAATTGCAAAAATATCTGTTAAGACTTATTTAACAAATTTTTGGGTTTAGTTGTACCAAACAATTTGGATGTCACTCGATAGAGTCGTAAACGAGTAGTTGGACCACGTCCTCATCAGCCGCAAATGGCGCAGCTCGTTTTTAGAGACTCACATCAGGTGTGTGGTGCCTTCATTGGGTCTGATCACCATATGGTCATAGCGGAACTTCGTTTAAAATTGACCATGTCATATCCACGTCGTCTCGTTGATGTTGAAAGATTAGAACATGACAAACCGTCGCGGTCGGCCTATTAAAAGATGGTGGAGAGTTATTTTAGTTAAACCCTTGTTGCCCAGTTAGAAATTGACAATATCGACGAAACTTACAATGACCTCAAAGAAGGCGCCATTTCCTCCTCAAAATTCGTAGATGGGGTCACAAGAGGCGAATAGCGAAACGGTTCGGGTTACAGAGACGAAGTGCAGAGGAACCTGACGAAAAAACGAGTGTCTGCTAAACTTCACCGCACTTCTGAAGGCCCTTCATCGTCATCGCATCCATACAACGAACCAGAGCTTCAGGCGGGGCATGGAACTTTAATGATGATCAAAATGATTATGATATGATGATTGAAGGGTTGGCGATGATGAGAATAGCATTGGCAAGGATGGGCAGTCTACGGTGTCGATGAGGTTGAGAATGGTGATTATTGTGCTAAGTTAGATGACAACGAAGAAGAAGAGCAGTGTAGTCAGGTGAATGGCGAGTAAGATAAGGATGATTAGGTTAGTATTAGTGAAAGATTAATGCTGTTTAAGGGAACCAGAAACATGGCGATTAAAGTATAGATATTCAAGATTAAACAAATATAATCCGATGTTCTCAGGCGACCTTTATAAGTCGGAGCTTTCAGTACCGCCGGTAAATGTCATATTTCTAGCAGTAATACCGTATTTTTCACGGTGAAAACGTACTGTGTAAAGAAAGATTTTTCCGTTACTCTACGCCGATACAGCAGTAGTGTAAGATCGACAGAAATCTTTACACCG